CTGCACTTGACCTTGCGAAAGTGATGCACCTGCCACGAAATCTGTACCCGACCTTGCCAAAACGCTGCGCCTGCCACGAAATTTGAACCTTGCGAAAGTGTGCGCGTCCGTGCCAATGGTCCCGCTGCGAGACCATCCCGAGCCCGTCCCGAGCCCGTCCCGAGCACGTCCCGAGCCCGTCCCGAGCCCGTGTCCGTCAGACGCCGCGACCGGGGTAGCTTTCAGCCAGCCGGAGAAGCCAAAACCCGCAGAGGGTTGCACTTTTTGCAGATTTCTATTCCCCCGCCACACGCATACGCACGTTTTCTCGCATGCATTCATTCTTTCTTCATCTCATCTTTGCGCAGAGCTACCTTTCAATTAGTTTCCGTAACCGGGAAGTTTCCTTCTAAACTTCCTTTGATTAATAGGGGCTGTCCCTGGGTTTAGTGGGGACTTCACTGTTGGAGGGGATCACCTCCATATTAATAAGCTGAGGTTGATGAATCTGGGGTCAACATGACCGGATATACATGTGTTGAATACTCGCCGCAAGTGAAGCTCATCTACAATGCTGCGCTTGTCCAGCTAAGAACCTAGCTCAGCGAATGAGATGGGGCACGAGCTGGGCCTACGAGCGGCTGCGGGGCTTCCTGGATCAAGCCTTGCTGGCATCTTGGGCTGCGACCGGGTTGTCATGGTTGTCGTTGGCAAACATTTTGCATTTTTGTTTATTGTGTTTAATGGGAAATCCAACCACTTAACTGCTGAAATTTAACTTTTTGCTCCCCTTCCAAGGTCAACCAAGTTGTTGACGTTCAATATATAACGTAGGCGTTCCCATGTTTGATTTTCACAGCGTAAAATTAGCAAGTCAGTCGAGGGCTTGGACGGTCAAGTCTGGTGTGCCAAGCTCCGGTAGCTCTGCAATGGTGAGCCCATTGGTCAGACCTGACCAGAGATTGTTTGCAGCAAAGATTGTTTGCGGGCTTCACTAGTTTCACCAGCAGACCCTAGCCCGCCACGTAAGATCCCGTAAGGGTCATCAACCCCAAGGAGTAAGATAAGGGGTGATGTCATGGGTTCTCCCAGCAAGTGTCACGTTTCTGCTTTGGAGTTTGGTCAAGGGATCGAGAACAAACTTTGATGTTCTCAGGCGTGGTATCCAGACAACAGCATCATCAGCCAAGTTGCTGCTTCCTACGTCACTGGCAGAATGGAGCCCGATACTGCTGAAGATGATTCCGAAATGTGGAGCCAGCTGAATGATTCCGAGCGAGTGCTGATCCAAACTCAAGCAGAGGCTGACAAGGTGATCTCCTCATGCAGTGAGGATGGTCACGTACGTCAAACGATCACGATTCGCCGTGGGGTGACTATTGAGCAGGGATGGATGCTAAGTGCGTGTCAAGATCCGCCGCTTACTCAGACCCAGCTCAGTTTGAGTAGCTGTTGAAATGAGCAGACACTTCTGCAATGTGCGCAGCCATGGTTTGTCTCAGCCGGAAAGAACACCTCACTGAGAAACGCAACTCAGAGAAAGGCACAGACAGGCACGTGGACCGACTTTAAAGAGACAGGAACAGCGACGGCCCAAGCAAACAGACGCGCAGACACACTGACTCACTCACACACACACACACACGGACACACACACACACAGACGCAAATGCAGACACAAGTGTACCTAGAGCTTCCTGCGGCGGAAATTTCTGCCGCAACGCATTGCGGCGGAAATTCCGCCGCATTCCAGAAAATCAGCCGCAAACAAGACAAAACACCGCAACCACAACAAAAACGCCGCAACACCGCTTGCTTTCCGAGAATTTCCGCCGCATTCCCGCTGATTTCCGCCGCATTCCCGCCGATTTCCGCCGCAAATCGGGGGGTAGAAAAGAACTGAAAACAAGTTCTGCCGCAATTCTAAAAAAACGCCGCAAATTAGGAAGAGGAAGAAATGCCGCAAGTCCTCTAGGTATGCATCATAGAATATTGATACGCACACAGACACGGAAAAAGAGAGAGAGAGAGAGAGAGAGAGAGAGAGAGAGAGAGAGGGAGAGGGAGAGGGAGAGGGAGAGGGAGAGGGAGAGGGAGAGGGAGAGAGAGAGAGATAGAGAGAGAGATAGAGGAGGGAGCACAAAGAGGCACTTACACAGAGCGCAACACTACACAGCACAGCACGCACATGCACACTTCCCAGCACGGGCGCGCACACACACACACACACACACATGCGACCAGCGCCCACGCACACCCACGCACATTCTACCTATGCCCATCTACATGCACATGCCATGTGCAGTTGAGCCTTCACAAATTCACAACCCAGAGGCTCTGAATGCCCGGCACCCGCGAGTTTCAACGGGCGAGTTTTGCCAAGGTCCGGTTCGGGCATTTCCTTGGGCGACCTGCGAAGCCGGCTTCCTGCAACGCTGGTTTTCGATGACGAAGCGGAACGGGAGCTCCAGAATGAGATGGAGATGGAGCGCTTGGAAAGCGCAGGCCATGAGAATCGGGATGGGAGTGCCTCGTCGTAACACCTTAGGAGTGTCTGGGTTTGCGTTTTCTGTTTTGCGGTTGCTTTGCTTGTGGGTTGCTGTAAAACGGGAAGGTGTGTTTTCACAGAAGCCTGTTTGGTCTCCGCATCCATGAGTTCTTGTAAGGACAAGGGAGTGAACCTGACGTCTCAGCTCATCCTGAGAATGCGCAGCGCCCCTGCTTGCCACATCTCCCTGGCAAGATCCAGTTGGAAAATATGGATGAGCGTCTCCTTTGGTGGCTTGGGCCTGAAGAGCGGGCGCACGTCCTCGTGCAGCAAATCCTGCAACAAGCGAGCAGGCGCACAGCCGCGCTTGATTTCCTGAGGAGACACCTTGTGCCTGGCAGCTTGAATCTACAAATCCTAGGGCTTGACCTTGACAAAAAACCACACACTTGAAACAGACACGCGAAAGGGTTGAAGCGACGGAGATGTGCTGGAAAGTCCTTTTTGGGGATCACACAGGTCGCGGGGAAACTTTACCGTTGCTCGCTTTTTGGGAAGTCCTGCCTGTTCTTTGCCTCCTTGGGATAGATTTGGTTCATGCGCTGGTTTGCCACGAATTTGATTTGCAGCTTTGTTGGAGTGTTTTTCTGCTGACCTTGTATGTTCACCAGTCATATTGGTTTCGATGACCCCTGGCTCTCACTTCCTGAGTTCATGGACTTGCTTTGTGGTTTGGACCATTTTGGGGCAAACAAAAAGTCTAGACTTTTTTGGGCGAATCCACCATGAGGGTTACCTGTTATCATGGCTCATGCAATCACAGTGACAACACGGTTTTGCAAGTGGGGTTGTTGTGGGGTCAATTTGGGTGAGATTGGCTTGCCAAAAGGTGCAAACTGCGTTAAACATGTTTGGGCATGTTTCTCTTCCCGTTTCGCCAATTAAAAAAAAGAAGCCAGCCATTTTGGGGGTTCACTCCCTCATGTTGATACTATCCTTGGGTTGGGCGTTTGTCAAAAGGGGGTGCAACCCATCTAATCAAAGGGTACCAAATCCCTGTTCAAATCGAAACTGAGCGCCAAAAAAGCCTTGCACCAGCGTTCCTGCAAGCTCCTGGTTGCTCAACACCCGGCATCCCCGAGGTTACCCTGTCTTTTTTTCTCGTCCAACCCGAGCTGTTTGACCCCTGAGGTGCTTCCAGGACCTCCAAAATGCTGCGACCGCCTTGGCTGCTGCCTGCCGCGACGAGGAAGCCATGGATGTGAGCCTCAGCCCAGCGCTTGGATTTGATGCCGTGTGCAAATAGCAGTTTCACTCAGCTATTCAAAGCGAATCGACCGTTTGACCCCTTGGTTGTACCATGTTGGTTCATTTTTGGTTAAGGTTCCACCAATTAGAGAAATGCTGATTCATGGTTTCTGTTTCTTGTTGTTGGTGTTGAAGATTGGCGGTTCTCATTTGATTTGATAGGACAGAGGACACATTCCTGAAGCACCATGAGCGATCAGTTTTGCACTCTTGCATTTCGAGGTGCAGAAATTATGCGTAGCAAGAGAGGCTTGGCACAACTTGGCAGCACGGTCAAAGAAGATGTTCAAGCCTGCTGATGCTGGTACCAACACATTGGTTCCACCCCACCACCAATTCTTGATTTCCTCTCGGTTTCCCTTTATGAACACCCAAACCGGGGCACTCCCAACAACGACACACTCGTAGTGCATAAATAAATGCTGGGCAAGTGACTGTCAGCTTCTCATACACCCATGGATTATCACCAAGTATCACAGGGTCATTTGTTCACACATTGGCACAATTTCCTGCAGTGGCAGGTTTCTTTGAACCCACCGTTGAACTGCTACTTTGATGGAGATCCAATGCCCCCCTGCCGAGGAATCATCGGCATGACGGTGACGGGAGCCTCGATCAACGCCGCCTTGCTCTCGCAGATCAAGCCAGATGTTGTGATTGTGGAAGAGGCAGCCGAGGTGCGGCCAAATGTGCACCAAGTGGTGTGACATGGACGTGTCTTTTTCCGAGGGGGCTTCCGCCACACAACCCTTGGCTGTGCTTTCGGGGAACAGGGTACCCTCAGGCAAGAAAACAGCGAGCCAAGCCGTCAGCAAGCGATTTCAGGGCACAGGGGTCTCGGGATTCTGGCAAGTGTTGCAAATAGATGTGTCGCTTTAAAGGCCGGATATCCCTCCACTGACATGGGACCTGTGCTCTTTTCAGCTGTCTCACAGAGCAGCGTCCTTTCCAAGCGACTTGTTGGTTTTCATGCAGCTTTTTGCTGCTTCCAGCCTCTTGAAGGTTCTGGAGCCACAGATCATGGCGGTGTTGGGCCCATGGGTCAAGCAGCTTATCCTGATTGGGGATGACCGCGGCTCGTCTGAAGGGATGTTCAACATATCGTGTTCTCGGTGCATGTGGCTGAGTTATTTGCTCAGTGGATTCTTCACAAACATCGCCCCCCAAGCCATTGCCATGTTCGTTAGATACTATGCGCGGCCCATAATCGTGTCAGCCCGTAGGAAGACATATCCAGCTGCCAGTGCTCGCAGATCAATGTGAATACTCAAAGATGGTGTCCAGTACCCCCAAAACGACTACCCCCCCAAACCACTGCCAAGGGAAAGCAGGCATCAATCCTCAGTATGTTATCCCTATGGTCAATTCGGGAGGGATAAATTGGGAGACTAACGAAATGTGTCCAGACTTTCTGGGACCTCTTCTTTTTTCATGAGTGACAAACTTGAGGCGTAATAGCTCCTGTCCAGAATCAAAGATATGTTTGTTTTTTTTGGGGGGGGGGCACAGCTGAGGTCTAAATGTGGCCAGAGTGAAAATACAGTGGATGAACGAAATCCTGCACCAAAGAAACCCTGACATGAAGATTCCCCCGTAACCAACAAACGTTATGGTTCCTCATGGTTTCAAAGTGGTGCGAGCGGATTTCGTCCATCGGTATGATTTGGGGGGGCTGTGGCTTTCCCAATGGCCAAGGACAGCTGCCGCCACCTGTGGAGACTTACACACTGAAGCAGCCACTCCGCTTAAGGCACCATGCGAATTGTGCCATGGTCACAACACCCCTCGCTTTTCTTTGTTGGATTTTGCCAAGGGATGTTAGGACTGAATAACTTTTTGCCAATCAATAGGTTTTCCATTAAACCACTAAAAGTTAAACTTTTAGCAGGGGAGCAGATTTCGCAACCGAGTTTTGGTCATCAAGGTCAGAAGGTTCAAAGTCAGGAACTCGGTGTCTGATATCTGCTAGGTCCCCCAGTAGTGCCCTTTTGCCAACTGTTTTGGGGGAGGGTTCCCCTGCTAAAATAGACTGCAGAACAAGTTGGCATAAAAGACCCGCGCCAGCGATTTGGGGTTAGTAGGGCTGGTCACGAACTCTCACCAATCATCACGTCCATTTGCTTAAGATTGTTCTGTTTTCAATTATTTCCCATGTTAATTTATAGAATAATTTTATCACCGGCAGATGGAGAATAAGGGTTCCAAGTTAGCCACCATGATGGATGGGCAGCTTTGACTGAATTGGAAGCAGTACCCGTGAGGGTTGGGTGTTTTTTTTCTTTTTTCTATCGAGTAGGGGGTTGCAACCAATGAAGGAAAGGATAAATCGCCGAGTTGGGCTCCTTAAAAAAAACTGGATTGTTTATTCTTCACGGATGCAACGGGTATAAAGCCAGTACGGAAAGCACCTTGTACTAGAGATTTCGGAACACACTTTAAGCCGGCACCGTGTTGATCTCTGAAAACAAGGTTTTGAATTCCATGTACCAGTGCATTAGTTAACCAAGCGGACCACCGCTGCAACTCAAGGGGCAATGTTTGGATATGTTCCATCGCAGAAAGTGGGATCTAGGATCAATTTCGATGCAGATTCCAAATTCAGATTCACTTTGCAGGTGGCACATTGTGTGCAAAGGCAAAAACTCATGCGGAGGAATCACCTGTTTGACACCAGTATGCTGGAGCGCCTCATTCTCAACAACCTGCCCAACGTGGAGCTTTGTCGACAGGGCCGCATGCTGCCATCTCTGTCAAAGCTGCTGAAACCCATCTATCCTCACCTCGAAGACAACATGAAGGTTGTCGGCAAACTGGCAGGGCCCGCATGTGTTGAGTCGGAGGTGACCTGGCTGCTGTTTAAGTTGACCGGACTTTGTTGTTGACTTTTGGAAATTGACCCTTCTCCCCGTGACCAACGAAAACCTCAATTTTTTGAAAGGGCTCACAACCAACTCAGGTGTTCTTTTGGCACTGTCCGCATTTCGAGGAGGAGACCCAGAGGAGTAAGGTCAACAAGGCTGAGCAGCTTGTATTTATTTAGTGTCGAGTTGCATGGCTGAGTTTCCACAACCAGGGACCCTTGCCTAAGGTCGACTTTCCTCGTGGTTTGCTTGAAACTAGTCTTCTAATGTTTCCGATTACGAGGTAGTCTCAGAGCAGGCACATTTCTGTCCCATGCAGCCCTGACTGTTTTGATCTTGATTGTCGGCATGTTGTTGTTCTTTCCTTTTTCTGACTGCATGCGCTCACAGACATTCCGACTGTCGCCCAAAAGAGTCACTCTTCCCCTGAAGGCGGCGCATGCCCGAAAGGGACAAAACTATCATCGCCCCCGGGCATGTCCTTGCAAGTAATTGGGCTCACATGGCGAAGCCGGAAATACATGATACTCTCCGCATCTTTGAAGTACTTGCTTTCTGGCCAATTCATTCCTAAAGAGCGCCACGGGTCGGGAGAATTTGAGTCCCTTCGAGAAACCCAGGTGTGATCGAGCGGTGCAGCTGGTTTGCTTCTTCATCTCGCAAGGCTACGAGCCATCCAAGATCACGGTTCTGGCCGCATACCAGGCGCAGGCATCGCTGGTCCACCGCGAGGCCGAGTCCGGAGTCGAGATGCGGGGGGCGTGGTTGAACCCGGCGCCATCCTCGCTTCAAATACATGGTTCACACCTTACGGGTCACCTAAGGTGAACGGGCTGGATCGATTCTGCGGCAAACCGATGAGCTAAGCAATAAATTGCAAACCTTAAAGCGCCTGGCGTTTGACGGCTCCCTATGTTTCTTTCTCTTGTGGGCTTCAAACTTTAAGCATGAAAGTTTCCTTTGAATTTGATCATATTTCTTAAGGGGATATATTGCACTGCAGGGAGCCCTGTGGTCATTCTCAAAAAGGCTCTCGGAAATTGAAGGTATGAGCCCTTGCCTAGGGGTGTTTGGACGGGCTTTGGTTTGTTTCCTTTGATTTCCCTTGGTTTCCTAGGTTGGGTCGTTGGTTTATTGGTTGGTTGGTTGGTTGGTTTGCCAGAGTCTTGCCGAATACCAAGTCAGCATTACCTCACAGTACATCGCGCAGAGAGAGCGAGAGAGAGAGGGACTGTTTGTTTGACCATCTTTGGGTGTGTCAATGTTGAGCACCACCCAACTTGATAGGCGTCTTTGTGTTTGCCTTTTGATTCCATTTGCAACAAGTTTGATATCATTTAAAGTCGCCGTTTTACGTGTCAAGCTTTGCATAGAGGGCCAACGCTAAGGTGCGGCAAAAGCTGCCCCGTTTTCTTGAAAACACCGGCTGGAAGCACGAGCTGTCGGAGGTACAGGTCTCGACTCTCAGCCGTGCTTGGTGTTTCTTTTTTTTAGATGTGCATTTTGGTGTGTTCAAGCAAAAACCACGAGGCAATGTTGTCGATATTGTCATTTCAGAAGCTGTTGCTGTTGCTGTTGTAGCCGCTGTTTCGGTTGCTGTTCCGGCTGCTGCTGCTGCTGCTGCCGCTGCTGCTGCTGCTGCTGTTGCTGCTGTTCCCGTTGCTGCTGCTGCTGCTGCTGCTGCTGCTGCTGCTGCTGCTGCTGCTGCTGGTGCTGCTGCTGCTGGTGCTGCTGCTGCTGCTGCTGCTGCTGCTGCTGCTGCTGCTGCTGCTGCTGCTGCTGCTG